GTCCCCTATAGCTCAACATAACAGTATGGCTTTACTTCTTATATTTCGTTTTTATATTTTTCTGCTGGTTATCTTGTGCCTTTGAATGTTGGATGTGTTTAACTTTTTTTTTTTTGTACGGGAGCTCACAGCTAAGAGTTTGCCTTGGATCTTGGAAGAGACTTGGGACTTGGACTCTTCAGCAGTGCTGAAACTGTTGGGACTTTGTCAATATAGAGATGGACTAGAGTGGCTTTTGCATAAAGGGATGTGCATGAGTCTTCGGGGGTCCAGGGATGGAATGTTATGGTTTGTGTCTAGGTGTCCCCCCAAAGCCTCATGCAGTCTTGGGGGGTCTTCTGGAGTTTGTGATTGATTACTGTGGGTGAGGTTGCTGCACCTGCCCTGGGGCAGGTAATTTGCATTACAATGTAAGGTGGGAAGAGAAGCTAGGGGCTTGAGCTGCTGCTACCCCTCCCTTGTGCTTTTGCTCTTTGCCGCCACCATGAAAGGTTGCTTTCTGCTATGTGCAGCTCTGTCTGGACCCAGCTAAGTTTGGACTGAAACCTCCAGTAACTGTGAGCTAAATAAACCTTTCCTTCCTTCAAAAAACAAAAAAACAAAACGTGCTTTCCAACAAAATGAAGCAGTAGACGAAAACAGACAAAGCTTCAGGTCTAAGCCTTTATCCACATGAAGTATTGTGGTATGCTACTTCTCTTATTGATGAATGAATGTAAAGCATCTTACCTTAAACTATGCAGTAATTTACGTTCTTGCTCTGCAGGCTTGGATCTGGTTCTCTAAGATTTTTATGAATGAGAATACAGAGTATTAAATTTTTTGTTAAGGTGTACATTTTAAACCTATTAGAGGCAGAATTTCAGTGTGATCCCATGGAGAAATGTAGGTTACTGGGACCTGTTAAATGCAAAGGCTGCGCCCAGTTGTGCTACCCCCTGGCTATCTAATCTTTGTGATCAGAGCTCAATGTGCACTGGGGTTTCTTCACTTTAAAATACGGGTGAGGGATCTTTAATGTTTACCAAACCTTATCCAACTTTTTTTGCTTAAGATTTCCTAAATATTAGGGGCAGCAGGCACCAGCCTGTTTACTGTGATAAGGGCTAGTCACGGAGCTTCTGGAAGTCCACAGCTGGATCCCCTTGAGACTCTCGGTCTGGTATGCCTTCTAGAGTAGAAGGTCTCAGGCTGAGTGGCTTATTCCATCAGTCAAGGTGCTATCAGATGTGATGTCTGGAAGGGCCCACATCCTGATAATCAGATACACCTTTCTGCCCTGTCCTCCCAGAAAGAGGCCTCTGGGACCCTGGTGGGTCTTTTCCATCTATAATGAAGGGCCAGCCAGTGATTCTCACAGGAGAACCAGGAGCAGAATTGAGGCCTCAGGCATTATTCTTTTAAATAATGTTCTAACAGGTAATTCTAACATGACAATGGAGGAGAGCCCCACTCAGTCACAGGATTGCCTGTAGCATAGGTAAGGGGAGATTTGAAAGTTACTTGTCAGAACTCTTGTAATAACTCTGATGTGAATGGCGAAGTGTTACATTACCTATAAAAACATAAAAGAGTAGACAATAACATTCTTCATGTTTTGATTGTATTCAAGTTTTTATTTTTTGAACAAAAAACTCAGGACAATGATTTTTAAATAAGAAAACATGGTATATTATAGACACTGGGATTTTTTTTAAAGACAGTTTATTAAATTTGGATTCTTACAGTTCTGTTGTGATGCTTCCTTCAACATTTAAATTATTTATTACCATTTTATTTTCACTCCAAACTTGATAAACAAAGAATCACTCTGTCTGCCTATGTGAAGCTTCACTTTAAGGAAATAATCCACTACCACATAAAACATACACGCAGAACATTTTTTTCTAATATTTACAAAACACAAGAAGTCTGTCCAGCCATTTTGGTTTTGTTGTTACTTTGCCCATACTGACATCAGCAAAAAAAAAGCCAGGTAACAAGCAAAATTTCACTTCGGCAGTGCAAGGATGGCGTCAACCAAACTTCATTACACAAAACAACAAATTCAAACATGATCAGCACAATTCACATAAGCAAAATACATGTAATTTGTGTAAGACTGATTTAAAAGAATAAGAACATAGTGGGTCACAACTAGACTGGTTTTCACTGTGCAACTTTCCCCAGGGAACAACACTACCCATTTCACATAAAGAAAGGAATTTGCATCCAAGCCTTCGTTTATGAAAAAAAAAAAAAAAAAAAATGCCCTTCAAACAAATTCATCATAAGGCAAAAAAAGAGGAGTGAAAAACAAAAAAACACAGTTTGGCCCAGAGAAAAAAAGACTTAAAATGTGTATGCCCAGTACATACACATTCACAGATGCACTGCGACCTAAATTACGGAGTCCTTAGACAGTTAAATGAATTGGCTCAGTAGAGGGAAAGTGTCTGCTATCCATAGGGATTTATTGCTAGTAGGCTACGCATTACGCGTTGGCATGAAAATGAGTTAGAAAGGCAAGCGCCACCTCGCCAGTGTAAAGTCTCTCCTGCAGGAGACTTCATATGGGCAACGTGCCACCGAATCCTGAAGAAAAAGCAAACTACCACTACCAAAAAAGAAAAAAGGAAAAGGAAAAGGCTTTTGCACTGTCCCTTACATTTTTGCCTTTTTTTCTTTTTAAACAAAACAAAACAAAAAAAAACGAGTCCAGTTCACCACAAGTTAAGCACAACCTGACAAGCAAGTTTAGCCACATGACAGAGAAAGGAGTGAAGCACAGCATGCATTTACAACTACCCCGACCTAGTCTGTTTGTCATACAAACTGGAATACAAAAATCCAATTTAAATAAGACTAAGCTATCATAGAAAAAAAAAAACACACACACACACACAGTAGACTTAGTTTGATACTGATTGGTTTGAAGAGTAAAACTCATCCTGTCTCCTCTTAATACTCTACAATTTATTTATCGATGGCTAGAATATTTACTTACTTAAAAAAGATATTAAATACCTGTATCATGAAATTACATTCTTATTAACAATAAGACATACTGTGTAAGAAAATAGCTCATGTGTGAAATGTGTCTGAAATGCATTTTTCCTTACAACTATCAAAACATCCACTCACACTAAAACAAAATCACCCCCCATACCCCCCCTGAAAAAAACTCGAGGAAAGATGGGGTGGGGGCTGGGCAAAGAGCAGGGAAGGAAAGGTTTAGCTACACTAATTACAGCACAGTGATTAACAATGGTTCAAGACAGAACCAACAAGAGTTGGTCAAAAGGATGCCTTCAATACATGGCTACAATTAAAAACCAAACTCGGCCACTTTTGGTTCATTTCAGTGAGACCAAAAAAATATCTCTCACAGATTCATATAAATACTAGATTCCAGCTCTATTATTATTATTATTTTTAAAAGTTTTCCCATTTGTTTTTGCAAGGCCTAGCTACCTTATTACAATTTATATTTGTTCTGCAACAACTACAAGAGGTAGGCATAAAGCATGAAAAAGTTTCTCAGTTAGTACCTCAGGGTGGGGCATTCAGCGCGTCATATCAACTAGTACAGACAGGAAAGGTCATGACCTTCTAGTCTTTTCTCTCTCAAATAAAGCTGCTTCTGCAGTCCTCCCACCCATACATATCCTAAAAAGTGTACCCACAAATAAGAAACTTTCTCTACTGAAGGATACTGTCATAGTTTTTGCTGCAGAGCATTAATGTATATATATATATGTATATATATATTTGTTTGTTTAAAAAAATAAACAATAAAAAAAATGGGTTCCTAGAACCAATCCTCTTGATTCTCTACTTCCACAAAATAAAGTGTTTCATTTGGCCAAGACTACAGATGGTTATTTTTTTTTTTTTCACAGATGCATGTGCCATGCAAAATAAATTAAAGGACAGATACCAAAACATACATGTGATAAAAACTACTGAAGGTAGATCTTTAAAAGCATTTATATAAACATAATTTATAATACTTCTTTTCCCCCTATATGTACAGTCACAAAGCCGTGGTTATACATCTAGGATTTCTTCTGCTGTGCCTCCACAGCGCAATCTATAGCGGCCAGTTCTCCAGCTTATGGTAGGGTCCCATAATGCCGACAAAAAAATGTATATTGTCATGGATTCACGGATGAACCAAGCAACTGCATAATCAAGTTTTGAAAAACACAGTGTGCCACCCTAGGAATGAAAATAAAGAACTAAGTTGCTTATTGGCAGGCTAAAGACATGCTTATAAAAATGAAAGTTTTGGATTTCATTCTTGCTAGGTTTAGTACATAAAATCAAACCACCTGTGGTGCAAAATTTAATTGCTATGCAATACCATTTAAGAAAACGTGAATGATTAGTAACATCAGTATTAAAATAACTGTTCCCTTAATACATTCCTGCTTTGAATATTTATTGATTTGTTTAACATCTTTTTGGGGACCTTTAGTGAAAGTGAGTGTAGAACCCTTGGAAAGCTACAAATCAAGGTGAAGGTTTTATCAGGATTCTACTAAGGAATGTAATGTTTAACTTTCAGTGGGAAGTTGAATGGGATATTAACTTTCACTGGGAAGATGAAAAATGGTCCAGGAAGATTTTCTTTATCCTTTTCAAAATTAAAACAGTTTTAGTTCCACCAAATCACTGCCAGCCTTTTCATGCCTATCCACATACCTGGACACCCCTGAGTTGAATGTAGTCAAATATAAACCACGCCAGGCAATGACACATGAAAAATACCATGATATCCCATCTGAATACGTGGTGGGCTGCCCATCCAATAATTAAACTGGCAACAAAACATTCTGAAATTGGCTCACAAATGATTGTGGCAGGAAGCATGTTAATTCGCAGTTTGGTCCACCTATAAAAATAAGGAGGATTTTCTTTAAGACAACAGTCTAGTGACCAGACTAATCAATTTTTCTCCAAAATGATCAATCTTCTACCGTATTACCTTATACAGACCTTCCCCTTTAAAGAACTTTGGGGTTTGTTTTGATGAATCTTTTCTCTATTTTTATTTGGAGCATTTAAAAAGTCTATAGATCATTTGTATGCCTTCTATTCTGATGAGTACAGATTATAAAATTTGATTAATGGGCAGAAAGATAAGAAATAGAGACCAGCATATAAAAAAGTCAAGAGACAATCTAGGAATGGTGGTACATTCCTACAACCCCAGCTACTCAAGCTGAGGCAGGAGAATTCCAAGTCTGAGAGCAGCCTGGTCAACTTAATGAGAATGGAACTAAACACATAAGTTTCAATGTCTCTTTTTAAAAAATATTTCAGTTATACTGCAAAAAAATGCATTTAGACATTCAGTTTATTTCTGTATTTTTAAAAAACTGAACAAAAATCTTACCTTTAAGTATATTTTTAAAATCATAACAGATCATATAAAAATTATTTCCCCTCTTACTCTTTTGAAAGGTATAAAAGGATAGCAATTGATTTACCTGATCATTCTGGATTGAAACTGAGAAATTGAGTATGAACCAGAGTTTTGCATTGCAACTTGAGTGGACATTGCAAACCTCCATCCTCTGAAAATGAAGGTAAGTATAAAGTTATCTATGATGAAGAAAACATGCAAGTCTGACTGGTTATGTATTCATTAATCATGGTAAGGAAGCAACTGCTGGCATTCAGGGTGGACCTAGTACTCAGGATTAGCACACTGCTTATGAGTGAGCAACCAGTTGGCCCAAGACAGGGCCACCTATACGCCAGAAGAAGCACAGTCATTCTCAAAGTACTCAGTGGGCAGAGTTCTGTATTTAATAGTTTAGTCTCTGGTCACTACTACCTCCCTTCTCCCTGCAGAAGATGTGTGGATGTGTGTATTCAATATGAAATGTAGAAAAAGAAATGACAAATGGCATTATGCATTCTATAGAAGACAGTAGGAGATTGTGAACCACATAAACACCATTATAAGACACCTTATTAAATATGCTTCTATTTTAAAATGATAATTTTAGTAAATTGTCATATAAGGCAATGCTTTTTAAAATTAAATGAGTCTTCTGTGATAAAGACGATGCTGTTAGTCCTATGAATCACAAAGCAGCTTCTTAGCTAAGCCACCAAATAATTTGATGACAAATTTCAAGCTCTGAACTAACACATCTATTAAAATTTTACCTGCTGAGATGCTTGACTACACTGATAACTTTAATTCTTCTAGAACACATCGAAACTCACACCTTCACTAATGAAAAGGCAGAGATGCTTTTTAATCACTTTAAACCACATTAACTGGAATACAGAGGAATCAGTACATTTATTTGCTTCATAAATATAAACATGAATAATTAAAACTGCTTTACCAAAATAGCCTATTCCGTATTAACTAGCAAAAACATAAAATGAAATAAAATTAAAAAGTCCTAATCCACCATTTAAACAAAAAGAATAAGCCAATAGAAATACCAAAGATGCTATGGCTCAACTTAGTTTTCTCACTAGTTTAGCTTTCTTACCGGTCAGCTATTGCTTTGGCCATAAAGTAATCTTCAGCAATGTACTGCGCAAAAGCTATGAGCCCTCCTGCTTGATCTAACACATCCTTTCTCATTAAACAAGACATGCCTGTCACACATTTGAAACCTGTTACATTGGCAGAGATATAGGACCTTGGATGCGAAGTTCCAAAATACACCTGCCCAAAAAAACACAAGGATACACATTTAGAATTCTGTTACAAGTATGGCATCTCTAAGTTCTTTTTCCTAGTGATTTTCTTTAAACATGACTGAATATCTTATTATTCTTACATAAAGTAGTGGAAGAAAAAGTGGCACACCATAGTATGTACATAGATGGCAGGCAGCCAGCAATTTGGCTGACTACGCTTGTTATCACCATTAGGAAGAAATATTTACCTCTAGAGGAAAAAGCTTATTCTACTCCGAAATATTATTTTCTCTAAAACTGTAAGACTAAAAGATTTAATCTGGATATAAACTAAGACAGGTAAAAACAGGCATGAAAACATTAACAAGTTCTTAATGTATCCTATTTTTAGGGTGCTTTGTGTAAAAGTATGTGTATAATACAGGATTTACCCATTTTATTTGGCCAATATACCTGCATACACATACACAGCTCTATGTATAGGTGTTACATGTACATTATGGGAGCCCTTCAGGACGATTCCACTTCTTAATTTCTTCTCGTTTAAGGTTTTGCCACTGGCTATTTGACCAAGTCAGTGAGATTCTTCCCAATTTCCCTCACTTTGTTTTCCACTGTATTTTTCATCGATAAGGTGGTTACTGAAATTCTACCTCCCATTTCTTACTGCCCTTCTCTAGAAACTCTGAATTCTTTATTATATAAGGTGATAAATCAATTTTGGAAAAAGACTGTCATCACCTTGCTTATTAGACATAAAGTCCTACTTATTATTAATACTTCAGATATATTGCCTTTCTGATTAGCTTGGAATAAAGAACAGTAATTGTTCCCAATGGCCAGTACACACATATACAACCCACAGCAAAACAAGAGAGCTCTAAGGGTTAACAATATATGATTCTTGCTAGCTACTTAGGCCTAGGTTACACTGAAGTCACAGTGTTTGCTGGGCTGAATCAAACAGCTTCTAAGACCAGAATTATATATCTTAATCTCATAAGCAGTTATTAAAGTGAGGTTTTAGGAGTAGGTGGGACTAGGGACTGGGCAGACAATTTCTTCAAAGTCTAGCAGCCTTTTTTGGGCTTAATTCTAAGTATGGGAAAGTGACTTCAATGAACTAAAGCTCTGTAATAGAATAGTAGTCTGAGAAACATATATTGGTGCTTTTAAAACAAAAATACAGTATGGAATGTAAGAATATATAGTTTTTATTTTACAACAGCTACCCAGAGGTTTTTTTTTTTTTTTTTTTTTAATGTATTTGGTACGGAGTCCCACTATATAGTATGGGCTCCTAGTGATCCGCTTGCTTTCAGTCTCCCCAGTGCTGGGTCACCGCCTCAGTGGCCGGCTCAGCACGCTCGAGGGCAGGGCCGATGCAGCATGTGGTGCTGGGGATGCAACCCTGGTCCCTGTCCTTGCCTAAGCAGGCGCTCAGTCCACTGAGCTATCTCGCTGGCCCTCAGAGGTTTTTTTTTTTAAACTAACAAAAAAGGGGCTGGGGAGATAGCTCAGTAGAGTAAGTGCTTGCCTGGCAAGTGCAAGGTTCTGAGTTCAATCCCCAGTACCACCAAAAAAAAAAAAAAGAACAAAAAAACTCAGAAATCGAAGATTAAAAATTTCTTGCGGTAGGAGAAAAATACTGCTAGACAATAGTAACTAAGAGATCATGGCTCAAAATACCAAAGGTCAAAACCAATTTCCAACAATATATCTTTACTCCTTTACATCTATAGCAATTGTTACATGGCAATTCAAAACAATACAGAGTAAATGCTTAAGAGGAAGTTGATATATTTATAGCCTGAAACTGTGCATCCTTCCCTTATACCCTGAACATGTGTTCTTCCTGTTTAATAGTTCAGAAATACAAATAAAATATATGTATAACGATATAGCCAGTGTAAGATATTTTTAGGAAAAGTTAATGAGGGAAAAGGTTGTAAAGTGACAAAAGATACAAATTGTTTTTAGAGTACTAGCTCAACTACATTTCTTAAAAAAAAAAAAAATCCAAAATGCTAAAATGTTAAGACAAAAATAAACCTTAATTTTAAAAAAGTTCCAGTTAGGGAAGGAGACGCATGGTTACTTTCATTTCTTACCCTTTCACATACTTTGTAGCGAAGGGCTGAAGATGCAGAGCAGCATTTAGCACTGCTGAGAGCTTAAGAAGTTTCTCAGAAAATTATTAGAAATCTATTTTAAAAGGAAAAATCAAACATTTATCAGAAGTAGGAACAAATTTGTGTACACCTGAAATACTTCCTGGTATTTAAAAAAAGGGCAAACTTGTTTTCAGTTTGAATCTTTGAAAGAACTTTTTTTTAATGTGAGCCAGCAGTCTGTTGTAAGCCAGCAGAGCAAACTTCTAGAACAAGGGCCACAGCTGGCTGGGGCTCAAGCGCTTCCTGCGTGAAGCCAGCCAGTCACAGCGGGGTGCAGGCAGTCAAGCCATCCCAGGGGCCTAACAATTTCCTTGTAACCAAAACAGTTTCCCTCACCTTGAGGGTTCCAGTTCACAGGAAACTCCCAAACACACTTAACACAATTAACTTCAGGGAGCCAATCTCAACTCTCAGAATAAGCTTCCAGAACATTAGAGATCTAACCGAGACCACTATTATTAATAAGCACCACACTTACCTGTTCTAACGTAGCAGCAAAGCCCTGTCTGTCTGCTACATATGGCAGCCCATGAACCAAGCCTACTTTTTCTGTCATTTGATTTACCATGTCAGTTAGTGTGTCTGGAATGACTAAAATTAAAACAAAAAGATGGGGAGAAGGGAGAGAAAAAAATTAACTTTTTAGTAAAACGCCCACTAATGTAAAATATTATTTGTGAACTATTACTAAATTACAATAGAAATAAATTTCAAATATATGGATTGAATAAGATGAATCTCTGACCAGAATACAAAATTTCAAAAAGGCATATTTGATAAGCTAATGTACACTCTGTATCTTCAGCCTGGCATATATCTCTCTTATAT